AGGGTGGAAATTGGAGATAGTGGTGAAAATGCACCCCTTTCAGTTTTTTAATTGTGGCTCGAAAACGAAGCTATAGTTCATAGGAAAAGTTATTTAGAGAATTGAATTTTCCATTGAAATGACTTATTTTAAAACTTTAAAAGGAAAATTTTATTTTAAAAATGGTTAATAAACAATTTGAAAAAAAAGCAAAATAATTAGATTTTTTTTATTTTTTTTTTTACTTTTTTGTCTCTAGTTTTTTTTGAATAAAGATAGGTATAGGCATAGCTTCATAAAAAAAAGTAGATACAATTTCCTTCAAAAAAAGAGGTTGTACAATATTTTTGGATAAGAATTGACTGATATATAACCTCTCAAACAGCCAATTTTTCAATTTTCGTCGTGTTTACCCTTATACGTTTTAATTCTCATTTTTTTGCAAAAAAGGAAGGATTTGTTCAAGAATTTTCATCACATGATTTGTTCAAAGGGTCATTAATAATGAAAAAACCACAGGGTGCTATTAAATTAGAGGGTTGAAATTGAAAATAGGGGTGAAAATGCACTTTTGCAGTTTTTTAAATATAGCACGAAAACGAAGCAAAGTTTCGGTATAGTTCATAGGAAAAATTTTGTAGAGAATTGAATTTCCCATCGGGATGGCCTATTTAAAAAATTGAAAAGAAAAATTATATGCAAAAAATCGTTAATAAACAATTTTAAAAAAGTAATGATTTTTTGATTTTTTTTTACTTTTTTGAATAATTTTTTTTTATAGTAGAAGTAGGAAAAGAAAATTGCTGTACAAAAAAACTAGATGAGATTTCCTTCAAAATGATGGCAAAAAAGGCCCACCTGTGTCCTAATTGCCAGGCTGAGGCCGCCCCTTTTCTACTACTACTTCAAAATGATGCCTTTTCAAAAGTTTTTGGACTAATATTAACTGAGTTATAACCGGTCAAACTTAAATATTTTTTAGATTTTCGTCGTTTTTAACATGTCAAAAAAGTAAAAAAAAAATCAGAATCTTATTTTTTACTTTTTTTTTAAATTGTTTATTAACGATTTTTTGCATGAAATTTTCCCTTTAAATTTTTTAAATAAGCCATTTCGATGGGAAATTCAATTCTCTAATTTTTCCTATGAACTATACTGAAATTTTGCTTCGTTTTCGAGCTACAATTAAAAAACAGAAAGGGGTGCATTTTTACCCCTATCTCCTATTTCCACCCTCTAATTTAATAGCACTACGCGTTTTTTTCATCTAAAATGACCATTTGAACAATTCACGTAATAAAATATCTTGATCATAGTTCCTTTTAAAATCCTATAATCAATAGCCTATATGTAGAATCGACAAATACGAGAATCGCATCAGTCTTTTTCCCCACCATGCACATCAACGTATCGAAGTTTACTGTAAGAAAAAGCGAGTCAATCATCGTGGACTATTTTTTATATTGAAGTAAAAGTATTCTACTACAACATGTGTAACTTTCAAACCTTAATATTAATAAGTCAGGTCATCGCGATTTTGTGAAAAAATGTCAGCTTTCAAATGGCTATAATACCATTCCGAGTAAATTTCAAGGATAACAAAAAGATCTATATTTTTCGACCCAGAAAAAGAGGTCAAAGTTTTGGTAGATTTTTCACATATTTGCACAGGAAAGTACAACCTTTTTAAACCCAAGATGGGTCACGTAAGTGCATTACTGTATGATTTATTAAAACTTGAAAAAATGTATTTTTTTTAAACTCAATTTTTGCAAAAACTAAAATATTTTGTAATTTTACAAAAATGCACTTATTCTACTTGCTATATGTATAATCTGAGTTTCGTAAAAAAATCGTTTTTCATTTTAAAGAAGTTTTACTAACGTGGTGCATACAAAATTTAATCCTCAACCATAAAAATTTATAATTTAATAAAATAGAAATATTATAACTTATCACATTTTATTATGACAAAGTAAACGCAAAATATCAGCAAGTAAAATACAAATCTACTTAATTTTTGTTGAATAGATATTAAACGTGAACGAAGGAGTTTCAATTGAAAATGTTTGAGAATTATTATCTATGTTAACAATTTGTAAATCTTTAGTAGAATTATCATCGTTAATAATTATGTTCTCAGTTTCACCTTCACCTAAACTCGTCTTTACGATTTTTGTTTTGTTGAGCACAGATTCCGCGACATATGATTCTGCAATCGTGTCACTTTTTCACTCTCTCGGTTTGTTTAAAATTTTTCCTTACTGCCGCCTACGTTGGCAAAGAGAGTCGCGGACGTGTGACAAAAACAATGTCCCGTATAAAGTGATGGTTCTGGCAAATGCAGATAGTTCGCAATTTTGCTTGGTACATTTCTAAAAGTATGAATTCCAATTGGATGGACTGTGCATTTACCATTCCTATAAGTTAGGAAAAATCGGTTATGGCGCGTCTGTTTATGACGCAGGGTTAAATATTTGTTAAATAATTTAACTTTTCCTTCAAACTCTGAAGTGATCACAAATATTCGAGGCCTGGTTGGTTTTTGTTTTAGTTACATGAACAACCAGAATTGTTTATTTGTGCTCTGTCACTTACTTTTAAATTCAAAAGTTCTTCATTACGTGCAGCAATGCCAAACACAAAACAAATTTAAAATAATTACTACATTTATATCAAATTATTTCTGAAAACTTAGCATAAATTACCTAATCAAGTAAATTTTATCTAGTGCTTTCAGTAAAAATTTAAGTACTCGTCTTGTGAAAGGGTCATGGACTTTCTTGGAATATGATTTCTTCGTTTTTTCTTCGTTTTTTGTTTTAAAGAAACCGTAAGTTTTTTATATTTACTAACGTCAACCTCAGTTTTTGCTGAAAGGGTTGCTTTCACCATGGAATAATACAACCACATTGAAGGAGAATACTCTTTCGATAATTCGAAAAAATATGCCGGTAAAACATTTTCATTATATTTTTCAATTCAGTGTTTCTTGCACCATTGCATGAATATGTCATACTGGCGATTGTATTTTTCGACTAATTTTTGTGGTAGAATTTTGAAGCACGTTTCTAATGACTTTCCCCGAATTTCAGGTGGCGGCTATGAATGTCTTCTTCCATCATTTTCTATAAATAATACGCAACAAAAATTTTACTGTTGGGGCTGTGACAACGACAAACGACTTCTGATTAATGTCATACAGTAATGACTACGTTGATAAATATTTGCATCACGTAAAATGCTTGATTTTTACAGTAAAATAAGTGTTTGTTTGCTTCCGGAAATAGCTTTGGTAATGCAAGGCTCTATTGATTGGTTGGCGATAAAAACATTTTATTATAAAAAGCATTCTAGACAAAGGACACCTACATAAATTATACAATCTGCAGGAAGTTCTAATCTGACCTTCATGTCGTTTTTCTAGTAGTAGCTAAAGTAAACAGAATGATCTAACAATTTATACGACAAAGGAGAAAATATTGAACAAAGTTAGTACTGTCAATGAGTTTGATAACAGGACATTACATGAAAAAACTTGCTTGGAATATGTATAGGTCTTTTGTCTAGAACAGGTCAAATAATTGATAACACATTTAGGAAAATGTCACTGAGCTTTAGCAAAGTTTTTTTAATATATTTTTAAATTTACATAATATTCAGTTAAATAAAAACTTAAATAGGAATAATACAACATAATTTCAGACGATATTAGAACAGCTTTGTAGAATTAAAATAGGTGTAAGCAATTTTTTGTTAATGTAGGCACATTCTATTTATTAAAGAGTGCAGTTAGAATTTTTTTTTTAAATATAAGGAAATTGTCACTTAAGCTAGTTTGAAAGATTGATATCATTGCCTGAATTTGTTGCCAATATTTTTTGGACACCCTGTATAAACATCTGATTATTGCTAAGCCTTACCATATTCAATTAGCATCTCAACGCATTCCGTGTACCCATTATTGGCAGCATAGTGTAGTGCCGTGTACTTTTTCACATTCTCGATCGATAGATCAGCTCCTAAAAAAAATTGTACCAACCTTAATTAATAAAAGCAATTTGAAAGTAATAATACCCAAAATTTAATACCAAATATGTATAAAAAAAAAAGAACTGTGATATAACATTGTGCAATCACGGAAATAAAAAAAAAATAACACGAAACGTAAATGAAACGTTACAAATGAGCTATTTTACTAAACATTTGACACATTAAGAAGAGAGTTTGAAACATTATTCGAAACATTCCCTTTCGATCTCGGAAACATAACAGACAAACAACCCTTTGCTTTTTTTGCTTATCTTATGGAACATTCGGCATTAGTTAACATTTGCTCTCAATCCCCAATCCCTCTCATCTCTCAAGCATTAGTTCATTTACCATTGTTATACAAACAGCCACAAACAGAGAATAAAATTGTGGTAGCATATTTATAACACAAGTCTAGAAAAAATGTATGTTCGTGACTTGCGTAAACTGCGCGTAACAGCCCGAGTTTATTTGTTTCCTGTGTGTCGTTTGCAATTCATATTATGTTAGGTTAGGTTTGCGGTTTGCCTTTGCCAGTTTGCCTGGCTTCGTTGTTCTTCATTGTTGCTTTGACGCTATTTTATGTGATAATTTGTAGTGTGTGCAGTTGTGGTTATTGTAAGGTGCATATAAAATAATGAATATTGATGCAAAATGTTTAAAACGATATGTGTAAAGAGATTTCCAATTTTGCTTCACATCTACCTAAGTTTCGATATAATTTGAAGAACAACCACCTAGTGAGAACTATTTGAAATATGGATGAGTCAAGTGAAATAGATGTTGTTTATTTTATATTTTATACAAATGTTTATATTTGTTTATGTTTATAGGCATGCTTAAATAAAAGAGTTTAGGTATACCTACAGGTATTTATTTTGTCAAGATATCATTTTGTATCCTTATTTCTGCTGTATAATTTATTATTAAAAGGATAGATGTAATATTGACCATGCGTAGAAGAAATTGTAACTTTATATTATTTTTCAGTTATGTTATTTGTTTTTCACGTACCTACCATTTCAAGATTCATAATCATAACAAACTTTTTCTAATTATCAGTTCGTCATTGTTACCATATTCACGCTGGTCTCAACATTAGAAAATTTCCATTTCAGAAGCGTATTTGAACAATATAAAATTATGTGTAGCTTTTTTAAAATGCTTCTGATATTGTTTTGTGACATTTTTATTTGTACGACGAATGGCAAAATTCGTAATCCATATTAGAAACTTTTTTCAGTGGCTTCTCAAAAAGAAAGAAATTCTTGGTAAAAGTTACCCCCAAACTAAAAGAGCATATTTATTTTTTTTTAATATACAATGTAACAACTTTTTTTAGTTTAATTATTTAAGAAATCAGAAAAACTTTGTCTGGAGTTCGAATTAAGTCATTCACAATACAAATAAAAATATCATAAGAGTATTAGAAATATTTAAGAAATTAGTCACACTATACTATTTCAAAAACGCTTTTGAAATGAAAATTATCTAAAGTTGACGGCATTATGAGAACATTATAGTTATAAAATTATTATGTTACTCAAACATTTCTGAAAATATACTGAAACGTAAAACAAAAATATCGAGTGCATAAATAGAACATAAAAAGAATGTTACTGAAACCAATTTTTTGAAACGTTTCACTGGAAACGTATTTTGGGGAGGATTTCTTGGGTTTCTAGAACGTTACCAGAACGTTGCATGGATTTTTTATGAAACGTTTAGAGAAAAATGGAAACGGTTCTGAAACATGTCAGAAACTGAAAAATGTTTAGTGGGAAAAACGTAAATTTCTATTTCGTAATAAATCGTAACAAGTATTTACACAAACCTTTNAAACGTAAATTTCTATTTCGTAATAAATCGTAACAAATATTTACACAAACCTTTAGCTAACAAGTATTCAATGATCCTTATATGGTTCATTTTACAGGCCATAATAAGTGGTGTGTTACCCTTATCGTTTTTCATATTAATATCGGCATCTGGGAATGCTTTCAGAACTTTGACGAGGCCTCTGAAGTTGCCACTATAAGCAAGGATGTGCAGAGCAGTAAATCCCTCGTTGTTTGTCACTGTTATGTCGATATCCTTACGAGCCAGTAGTATATCCAAAATCTCAGGGTAATCACGCAGCTCACAAGCTATCAGGAATACCGAATAGCCTTTGTCGTTTTTCTTGTTAATGTCTTGAGTCTTTGGTAGCAGGATATTTATCTTGTGTATAATTCTGTACTCAACGGCTCTGTGAAGTGGAAAAGATTCCTTTCTTTCTTCCTCCATTTCGTTTTCTCAATTCCTGCAAAAAAAGAAATATATCTTTAAATCAACATTAATGTATAAGTGGTAAATATAAATAAATCACTAACGTATTGAACTAATATGAACAAAAAATTTCTACACGTCACACTTCATATATAAATTGCACCACTTGCACAAAAACCCAATTAGGCACAAAATACGTGACGCGATTATCGTGAATCTATATCCCTGTGAATCACCGAATTACCCACCCCACAAGTAGGTACTCGTAAAAAAACTTGCACTCACTGCAGTATTAAACAGTGTCTCCAATGTCTGAAATAAAAATTATCTGCAATAGTTCGCAAAATTCAAATCGTTTTAAATTTCTGATTGATAACATGCAGAGAAAGAAAAATGTTGTGATGATTATTACAGCAATTATATAAAAAACCACTGTAATGATTATGATTTTTTTGTTTATCCTTTCCAATAAACTAATAAATCGATATCAACAAAACTCAAAACAAGTGAACAGTGACGAACTGGACGAACAACTGAACATGAAACATAGATCTAAATAATGGAAAGGTAAACAAACGTTCTCGCTGAACAATTTCAGTTGTAACCCCTACCACCCCTTTCCGTTGACATAAAAAACTTAATACGTGACAGACGACGTGCGAAACGGCATGCCACCCGCACCCGCCTCCCCCGACACAGACATGACTTAAACGTACTTAACAGACGGGTGAAGGCGGCTCTGGACGAACTGGCCCAGGATAACTGGGCTAGGCACCTGGAGTCGCTGGATCCACAAGACAACAGCCTCTGGAAAACGCAGAGGGCCCTGCGACAGACCGCTCGCCGTAAAATTCCTCCAATCCACGGTAGTGTGGGGGTGGTTTACACGAACCAGGAAAAGGCCGAGGCTTTCGCCGATAGCCTGGAACTGCAGTGTAGACTGCCTCAGCTGCCCGACGAAGACGAGGAATTCGAGATAGTGGCTGAGCGCGCGGCCCGACGCGTCGACAGAGAGCCAGACAATGACATAATCCCCCCCGCAACACCTGACGAACTAAGACTGACAATACGCAGACTTAAAAACAGAAAAGCCCCCGGACCCGACAATATACATAACACGACACTTAAACGACTACCACACAAGGGCCTCATGGCCCTACTAAACATAACAAACGCGACACTCAGACTAAGACACTTCCCTACCCGCTGGAAAACAGCAAACATAATCCTTATCCCAAAACCCAACAAAGATCACACCATCCCATCCAACTACCGGCCCATTAGCCTGCTCCCGGCTATGAGCAAAGTGGTAGAAAAAATTATCCTAACCCGTCTAAGAACCCACTCCCAAGAACTGCAAGTCATTCCAGACGAGCAGTTCGCCTTCCGACCCAATCACTCCACTGAACTCCAAATCCTTCGCCTTACCGAGCACATCACGGCGGCCTTCAACAGGGGACAGTACACTGGTGCTGTCTTCCTGGACGTCGCAAAGGCCTTCGATACGGTTTGGCATGAAGGCCTACTGATGAAAATGCTCACCAACCAATATCCCATATCCTTTACCAAACTCATAAAATCCTACCTACACCACCGAAAATTCCGCATCCAAATCCAAGATTCCCTTTCCACCACCCGTCCCATGGAGGCCGGTGTCCCCCAGGGCACCGTCCTGTCCCCACAC